ATGGTGACTGGCAAGCATCACAAAAAATTGGCGAAGCGATCAAGTTTTTGTTATACCGGACACTCAAGGCATCCCGAAACTCCACTTCCGAAAGATCAAAGTTTTCTGCAGCAATCGGTAACGCTGTCAGCCGGGTAGACAAGCTTCCTTCATTGATTGTTTTTACTGCGCGAACTTGGTCTGAAATCGACGAAATTCCAAGTATCGCAGGTAAGAATTTCTCCACCAGAAGGGTCTCCAGCGGTTGAAAAGCTGACTAGAAACACCCAAAACACATGGGAAAAATTCCATTCCGCTTGTAGGGACTTAGTCAGTCCTGATAAAGCACATTTTGGTTCTGTTTTTGCCACAAAGTTTCTCGATTTTGTCTACCCTTTCAAGTTCTTTCTTTTTCAGGTAGATGTCCTTCTCATTTCCGCCTCCAATGAAACCGCCCAAAAACTTCTTCCCGTCCACTGAAGTAATCGAGTACTTGTCAAATATGTGATGCGCTTCTTCAGCATATTGTTTATCGACAACCAAAAAACTTTTGGAAGGCTCTGGAAAGTAACCGAAGACGGAACCTTCCTCAATCAAGTTTTTGAGCCAATCTCCAATTTCCGCGGTTTCCGCAAAATCATCAGCATACCAACTTTGTAACACATTGTTCGGATCCTTTAACTTCCGACCAGGGGAAGAAGTGAAACACCATAGAAGAGCATTGCCAGTGGGTCTTCCTGTGTGGTTCCTTCCCTACTGTATATCACTTCATCGGCGCCAGCAACGAAAAGCGACGCGAAGCCTCTGTAAGCGTTGAAGAGATATCAAGAACATCTAGGCCACAATATTCGAGCATTCCACAACGCTGCTTCACGATTGAGCGAGTTGAAAGCATTTGATACATCCATCAACAGCATGCCACAGCCATTTTACTTGTCATCAAAAACATCAGAGAGCGCATGAATTGCACCTTCAACGCCAGCTTCCAGCCCACAAGCTAATTGATCAATCGAACATGTTTCTTCAAGGTCAGTTTTTGTGAACTCAGCCACACTTTTGCAAACTATTCTCCGTAGACATTCGCCTATGCCAATAGGTCGCACGCCAGGACATTTACCAAGCGCAATCAATCTTCCAGAAACCAGTGCTCGTACTTTCGACCATGGTAAGATTTGATTTGACATTTTTATGGCGAGAGTTGCAACTTCGTCTCTCAAGTGTGAACTGTGAGCCCCAAGACGTAATAAAACCGTCTGGCAATGCTCAGAATCTGTTCCCGAAGCTCCCGAACTGCCGTCCAAAGAACGTGTCGTCTTTTCAATGGAAGCAGAACTGATTAAAACATCTTCAACATCTGATTAAAGCAATCGCGAAGAGAGATGTGACTTGTGTGGCTCTGGATGGCTTGACTTCAAAGTCTCTAAAACGGTCACACCTTTCTTCACCTCTTGCATCGGATCAAGCACACTTCCGCTTGCTCTCTCCGAGAGCCACCGCATAGCACTTCTCACTTTACCTTTCATCATTAATGAAGCAAACACTTTCGAGACATGTTTGTCGTCCAAATTATCTTGATTTATTTGTTTCTTTTTGCCACATCTCACTGCTTCTGCCAACAACTTGTCGAATTTGTTTTCCTTCCAGTCTTTAATGCGCCGTCCAATAAGTGTTCCAAAGTCTTTTGATGCTTTGATCATTGGATCTCTTTGTAACAAAACACGACTCATCACCAGAACCCTTTCTGAAATGGAATCAGCAGTGGTAGAAAGAAGCTTCAGTTCATGTGTCAGGAGGTCCACGTACTTCCTACCAATGTTACCATTAGGCAAAGTATATAGTCTTTTTGGCAACCGTACACTTTTCACCCATCTTTCAGTCCAAATCGAATGATCACGACAAGTTGATTTGTCAAAAGACGCACCGAATGCTTCCATCATTATGTCTTTGTCATTTCTTTCAAGATTCGGATCAGTTTCCGGTAGCACATCTTCTATTTGCAGGTCTTGCTTGGTTTGAGTTAATCCTGTGCGACCATTGCTTGTCGGTGTAACATTAACGCAGTCATTAATATCTTGTGATATTAACAAGTCTTCCACTTCAAACCCGCTGGTATTGGAAACACTGGGCTGCGAATCAGAATTATACCCCAGATAACTAGGCGGTTTGATATTTCTCTGAGTCCGCCTCATGATATCACGAGCGTTCCTCGAACCAAACTCGAACTCTTCCCGAGCCCGGGCCACTCTGCTCCAGAAACGAGCTCCTCTCCAAACACGAACTCTAAGCACCGGCTCTGTAACAAACACACACGAGCTCCACGCATCGGCTCTGCATCCAACACAAGCACCAATCCACAAATAAGCTGTACTCCGAACACGTGCTCTGCTCCAAACTCACGAGCTGAGCTCCAAACACGAGCTCTGATCCAAATACGAGCACAGCTTGAGATAAAATGTCCGCTCAGTTGTCGATGTTGCAGTGGTTGTTGTTTTTTTCTAACTGACTGTTGGCTCTCTGCTGAAAATACTCGAAAATTAAGTTTGACTAGGCTTGATTTGGATAATTTTACCAATGATTTTTTACTACGCTCCCAAATTACAGAATTGCAAACGATGAGAATCATATTGTTACACTTATCTTTTGAAACAGATTAGAACTATAAAAGATGTTAATAAAGAATTTTTATTAAAGAGTATTCACTATCAAATATTCATTTCGATGTACATTTTTTCTTATTAAAAACTCGAAATTTGAAAAAACTTTAAACCATCTGTTCTGACTTTTTCCTTGAAACGTTTCTGATTTTCATGAAAAACCAGATAATTAGGACAAAAGTAGCAAAATTGAAAGGTTAAAATAAATACAATTGGAATTAAAACGAAATTATTTCAGTGAATTTTCTTTTACTTTGCGAACACCAAAAGTGTTGTAACAGGTATAGAAAATTTCTTTTCCATAAGCAAGTTAGTTCAAAGAATGATCATTCTGATGGGTATGGCAAACATGCTAATTTTGTTGAATAGTTGTTAAGACTACCATCTGCTGGGTTAGGCAGTAAGTAGCGGTAATTATTTTTCTCATTCAAATTTCTTCAAAAATTATCTGTATGTATTTTTGTCTTTGCTTTTTGTCTCAACTTCCTTTAATTCAGCTTCCGTTTTTTTCTTTCCAAATGCTGTTTATATTACCTGGTTTGTTTTCAACCCTTGAAAAATCTATTAGTTGCAAAATGTTTTAAGACCGATGTGATCTTGAAGATTATCTGCTTTCTATTTTTTTTTCATTCTTTGATTAAACGGCTTAAGCCTTTGTAATATAAGTTGAATCATTTTTTTAGGAGCTCGTAGATTTCAAGGGATTAATTGTTATATGAGATATTTTTTTTGAGGCCTAGTTCTGGGGATATGTGTGTATGTTCTTTTGCTTTGAGTGTCACTGCGGATGGGTCGAACAACAATTCTAAATTTTGGAGATGAAATGTTATTGTTTTGTGATTTCTTCTAAGCTAATCTTTCCACTTAACTTATAGGTTTTCTTTTGGAATAAAAACTTTCGATTTTTTGTGTTCGAACAACGAAGATTTTAAAGAACTTACAGCAAATTCAAGTTTTATCCTGACTAAAAAAAGCGCCAATCTAACAGTTTTTATAAATAGCAAGTTGCTAATGATACATTTTTTATACAAGGTTAAAGATAGCCGGTAGCTCTGCATGTAGCGCAGAGTTTCCTGGCCACATTTATAAAAATAATTACAGAAGATTTTTTTGTTTCTTTTTTTTTCAATTAAGTGCCGTTTTATGTGAGATAAGAGAACTATACAAACGCGTATGAAATTAGCATTTTGAACAGAACTGACAACTAATTTTTTTCATAAAATGTTTTAAAAAAAGTAAAACTTTTGTTTTTTATAAATTTGATTGTCAAGAAAGCGCTAAGGAAAGCTTTAACAAACAATTTTTTTTAGAATGATCAGTTTGTTTTTAAATCAATTGATCTTTTTATATCAATTTTATATTTCTAATAAATTTATTTTTTATATATTTAATAATCTTACTCGATCGCTCCAAAATAGACCAAAAATCAAAAAAATTAAACGAGTTTTTCTCAACACTGAAAAAATTTTTCAAAATTTTTAAATGTTCGAATAAAAACTGAAAATTTTTTAGTACGATATATCCCTCTACTCATTTCAATTATTAGCTGCTGGCACAACTGATTTTGCAAACAAAATAGAAAACGAAACAAGGATAGCCTGTTACTTACTTGAAAAAAAAAGAAAAAAAACGTAGAGTTTTTCTTTAAATATTCTCGTTTTTTTTGCGTGGTGTGATAAAAAGATCCAAAAAAAATTGGAGCTCAAATTTATTTGACAGTCATAGTTTCATAGTTTAATAAGCATATTGGAAACAATTTTTGTAGAACAATTACTAAACATTTTTTTCGAATTTTTGAACTTTTTCGTTCCAAAAAGGCCTTAAATTACACAAAAAACTAAATTTTCTTGAGTAAAACTAGGTATTTTAAGCTTTCAAGCTATTAAGATAAGCTATTTTCAAGCCTGATTGCTCGTTTAAGTCGCTCGAAACTATCCCAAAAATCAAAAATTTCAAACTGGTTTTTCTCAACACTGAACACTGGGAACGTTTTTTGGGAAATTTTTGAACAGTTTTCAAATCATGACTGTAAGTGTTTCAATGTGATAGATCACTGATGATTATTTGTGGAAGCAGATTTTGCGTGGAAAACAAAAAAAACGAATACAAAGTTCTTCCCCATTTTTCAAATGATCGGAACAAAAACACACAACACACCCGAATACAAAGTTCGTTCCTATTTTCAATGGTCGGAACAAAACATTTTTCGGTACAATAATGAAACTGTATGACAAATATTTTTCCATGTATGAAAATTGCATGATTAGCAGGTCTGGTCAACCTGGGAGTCTTTAAAAGGTTAAAAAAAGTTTCACCCATCCACCGTCCCTATAGAAACGTTTTGCACACGCCCGTGACCTGAAAAAAGCGAAGTAAAATATTTTCTCCCTAACAATCAGTAAAATGAACTCTAAGACAAAATAGACAATTTATAAATAGAAAATCACGCTTTGAAAGAGTTTTTCTTGGAACCGAGTTGATTTTTTCAAAATCTTTCTTCACTTCACGTGTCCCGGTTTTGATGAGTGAAGTTTGTCGTAAAATTGGTTGCTAACACTATTAGCATAGTCAGGAACGGCCGCCTTCAAATTTCCCTTGAAATCATTGCTCGCTTTATTCGGCGAGCATGCATTGTTAGGGCTACTGGCGCTCCTTTGTTTTCTCAATTCATTCGGCGATGCTTTTCCGTTACTCGGTGACCTTGAATTTATAGACGAAGTGGTCGATTTGCTCACACGACGCTCGATGACAATGTCGACTCGTGGACCCGAGTTAGCTATTAGTGGGACCACGTTTTCGCATACCACGTTTTCTGGTAATTTCATGTCATTGATCTAAAAAAAACAGCTCCAGGTTAATTAGATTGGATTTCTTGCAATCGATCTTTAATAACTCGAGTTTTCAACAAAGAATTGAAACATTTTAGCCAGCAGCGGATTTAGGAGGGGGCGGGGATTCGATTCTTGAGGATATTACCCCCCAGTAGTATTGTATCGTGTCCCGGATCCTAAGGGGGGGGGGGGTCCTTCCTAAGGGGGGGGTCCTCACGTAAAGCAAAATCCTAGGAAAGGGGTCCTTAATTTTTTGGAGGACCCTCATCCTAGGATTTTGTAAACGAAAGAGATTTTCCACCCAAAAAGCAGAAGACCCCCTACTTAGGATCTTGCTAAGTTTAGCTTAACAACAAGGGACACGATACAAAAATCTTTCTAATTCCAAATTTTGGGGTCCTAATTATTGGTCCTGATTAATTATATGAATCATATTAATTGTTATGCTTGTTTAGGGTAAATGAACTTTCGACCTAGTTGAAATTTGTTAGTGAACGGGGAATTGACTTTTATGGTATATAATAAAAATTCGCCGGCCATTTTGGCAGCGTAGCTTAACTGTTGGCAGCAGTAAACTAATTCCTTAACTTGACCTAAATTTTATGGTGAAAAGGCAGTAAATTGAAATTACTCTCAAAAGGCGGCGGCCGTTTCTGGGCAAAATATACCAAATGATAAAATTGTCAAATTTTGAAATAAGAAAAATGAAATTAGAGGGAACTTGGTGTACTGAAGATATTGATAATGAACATTTACAATTAAGAGTGTTTTCAACCGCAGAAAAAAACTCATTTTTCAAATTATGTAATGAACGCTACGTCGTCTTCCTCGAAAGGGCAAAGGAAATTTCAAAGAAAGAATACGAGTTGATTTTCAAAGAACAATTTTATTTGAGTGAGCTTCAACAAATCTCTTGGTGCATTTCTACAAAACAAAAGTATGGCACTGTGAGCGATTTGAATATTGCTGATTATGAAAACGTTTTCGACTATTCGTTTGACTTTAACTCATTATGGGTTGATAAAGACTTGGAGAGAAAAATCCGTCTATGTTTCAACAAGCTATCAAAATACAAAAAACTTCCGGTGGTTTATTTAATTATTTACCACCGTTATCTTAATGAGTCTAAATGGTATTTGCAAGGTCACTTTTATTTCCACTGGCTTGAAATTCAGCAGGTTGGAGAGGTGTTGGAAAAAATAAATAATGAAATTGCAAAAAAGCAGAGTAACTCCTATTGATTTGAAAATAATTCACGAAATTTATACGTCTTTGAAACAAACTTATCCTGATAATTCTAACCGACGCAACTATTTTCTAGCTGCATGTTCTCTGTTTTTTGTTAGTTCTGATAACCTTAACTACGACATTTTAATTAAGTTGAGACCTTATGGTGGCTTGATTGGAATTGATAACTCTTCCTTGGACAAATATTTGAAAAATTCCAAAATTTTACGATTGCACGCTATTTTGCACGATGCGGCCGGATTTATACACGAATTTTATCAACAGGGTCCCACGTACTGTTACATGTTGCCCTGGAACTGTAACAACAGCTTAATGGGACATTTGAGTGGAATAGCGTTCTGCCTTTTCATTAAGTTGAAAAAACCAGAAGTTTATCATTTACTAGAATGCTAGGCGAGAGATCAGTTGTGCTTGACGTGGAAGGCTTTCGTTACAAGAAAAACGCCTTTGTGGTTAAAGAATTAGCAATAACAACTTCAGACTACAGCGATCGACTCATTTTCCTACCTCCAGTGAATTTCAATATACTACCAAAGCTTGAACAAAAAGCTTACAACTGGTTAACTAATTATTTACACGGTCTCCATTGGGAAAACGGTGATTATCTTTATATAAACTTGAATCAAATACTTCAGAGTTTTGTGCTGAGAAATCCTGGTGCCGTTTTTTACGCTAAAGGAAAAGAAAAGACAGAATTTTTGGCCAAGTACTTGGACCGAAAGATTGAAAACCTAGATGATTTGGGCTGTCCTCGGGTTGAAAACTTATATTTTAAAAATTATCCAAGTTGCAATAAACATATTCCACATTACAACTCCAGGAATCATTGTGCCTTGAAGAAAACCAAGGTTTTTTATGATTGGTTGAAAAATGAACAACAGCGAGAGATCAGCGAAAGTGGAGACATACCTATCACAAAATTCAATGCTTTGTGCGTGGATGACTCCAGAGGGTGATATTAAAATTTCATTAACGAGAATAGAGCGTATTGATTGCAGTGGCCAAATTGTTCAGAGGAAGGAGCAAATAATAATTTCCGAAGAAGAGTTGTCTACGTTGAAGAGGTTTTTTCCAGTTATTGATCAATTTGTATACTTCCAGAGATTCAAGTTTATCAGAAATGTTAGCCAGCAAGCGAGGAGTATGTCTTCCCGAACTAGTCTTAGTACCCAAACGTCAGCCAGGAGTTCAGATGGATCTAAACAGCATTGAATTGCCAGATGAGATTAAGACGATTGTGAAAGAGGATACTGTGAAGAAAATAATGTACTACAAAAAAACCGCAAATATCCCAGCAAACTTTGTTTTAGAAATGCATGACATAAATGATAGAGATTTCACACGTTATGAAAATTTTTACTGTTCTCAAAAGTAATTTAATTTTTTACAAGCTTCATTCGCAGAGAGAAAAAGTCTAACGCAGTCTGTAGAATAAATAGTTTCTCAAATGTCAGAAGCAACAACAGCAGTAGATGAACCTGACGCAACATTAGTAACAGAGTTTGTTTATAACGAGACAAACAGTGAAAAAAAATCATGGAAGTTTTGTAACAATGTAACTTTGCCAAGGTCTGAAGTAGTTTTTGTTGCGCAAATGGTAGTAATTCTAATTTTACTAACTTTCTGCATTCTCAAACTTTCTTTCACTAAATTAAGTTGCGAAGAAACGTCAGTTTGGTTCTCGATTTTATCAGGCTTGGTTGGTTACGTACTACCAAACCCAAGAATATGAATAAAGTGATTGATACTTCGACAAGAATTTTTATGGCGATAGTGGGACCTTCAGGATCCGGGAAAACTGAGTTAATTTTGAAACTTCTGATGGGAAATACTTTTTACCCTAAATTTGGAACCGTTCTATATCTTTACAAAGAGATGCAACCTGCATTCTCAGAAAAAGTGTCTTCTCGCGAAGTGAATATGGAGTTCATGAAATTCGACGGATTCGAATCTGTGAGAAAATTAGAAAATGTTCTTCTAGTTTTCGATGATTCATGTGAAGACATCTATAATGACAAGGAATTTGTTAGGTTAGCGACAGCGGGTAGACATAGAGGGATAGATGTAATATATGTTAAGCATAACTTGTTTCAACAAAGTCGATGGTCGCGTACGATTGATTTGAACACTTCACACATCATTCTGTTCAAATCGCCTCGCGACGTTCAGCAACTAGATCTATTAGGAAGACAATTGAATGTATCAAAATTTTTGAGAAACTGTTACGAATTAGCTACCAGAGACTCTTTTGGACATCTTCTAATCGACTTGGACCCCCGTACATCAGATTGTTTGAGATATTGTTCAAATATCACACCACCTGGGCCAACAGTTTTTTATTTACCCTTATCTGAAGCAGAAACTACTCCAATCACAAATGAAAAAGAAAAACTTATCTATTCTGCGGCATATGGTACAACTGAAACCTGACCAGCTAAGAAGATTAATTAGAAAAACTTCAAATCGTGAGATCATAACACTTGTTTGTGAATGTTTGCTCAATGTAGTCAATGGAAACGTACCCGTTAAAATCGCAAACATCGAACGATTCGAGACAGCATACAAATACTTATTAACTCCAAAAACCAGTGTTGTCAAAAAACGTGCGATTATTTTGAGTAAAGAAGGCTTCCATTTAGTTCGACAAATACTTTATTTTTGTTACAAGTATCTCACAACTTAATGATGACTGCTGAAGAATTCATTCTAATTCCGAAACATTTATATGTTAAAGAGCAGCCACATGCTGCACGTGTTCTTCATGATAATAATATTAAACATAAAAATGCTCAACTGTCCTATCTTAACCGGCTTAGACCCCAATTACCTCCACAAACTAGTAAGACTACTGCAACGAAGGAAACATTTACGGATAATGTTGAGCCCCAACAAGAACAGCTTAAACTGTTAACGGACGATGAAGAAGTACCGGTCGAACGTGTTAAAGACGAAAAACTAGAAGAGAAACACAATAGACAGACCGAAAGCATTTTAGGACAGTTACAAGTTTTAGAAGACAAAAAATTTGTTAGAGCAAAAACCGTACTTGAAATTATAGAAAATTCAGAAAGAGTAACCATAAACCATGACAATGAGGTGATATATGTAGATAAAGTACCAACAGGACTTAAAGCTACAATATTTTTATACGACATACAACAACCAACGAAAAAACTACACAATCCGGCGTTCATTAACATTTTAACTGCTCTCAACTTGAATGAAAACCTGGTAATAAATCGAAATGCCAAACACGCGGTTCAGTCAGCGTCTTTTAACGCTCAAGAGAAACGAGAACCCGGACCCTCAAGAACCCGCTCAACATCGCCCACTTGGCAGGAAAAAAGTAGTGCAAACCTTAAGAGAAGTAAAAAACACAAACGAAAAAGTCTCAGCGGTAATAGAAAAACCCAAAACCAAAAACGTGAAAAAGAGTCAGAAGAAGGCTCTGACTCATACGGAACGCCCCATAACGATTCAGATTCTCCAACGTCAGAAAAGACGAAGGCGCAAACAAAACAATGGGAAAATTACCAAGATTGAAGAAAAATTGTTGAAAACTAAATACAGTGACAAAGGTCCCGCGTTATTTGGTAGTGTGAACAACTTGATAAAAGCAAGCAATTTGTCGCGAAAGAAAGTTAAACATTTCCTTCATACTGAACCTGCTTACACAAAATATCGAACTGTGATCCGAAAAACGCCGCGACTCAAGGTCATAGTTTACGATATCGACGAAATCTGGTCATTAGATC